TGAAACATAGGTACAGTACAAATGAAGGTTCGTACACCTTCGTCTAGATTGAATCGACCGACTATAGTTTGAACCATGGCGATTAAGTTTTTGTGAGACGAAATAACTCCTTTGCTTGCTCCGGTAGTACCAGATGAGTAAAGCAGAGTAGCTACGTCGTTTTGTGTAACTCGCTCTTTCAATCTGCTTTCACTGGGTTTTCTCTGAATCATTTTTTGTAAATCCCCAACGATTTTGAGATTTGAATTTGAATCATTCACTCCGTCGATTAGAATCACCGGGAGATTAGATCCGGTGAGTTTCGGGAGGAGTTGAGGGATTGTAAAGGCGAGAACAGGGTTCGAATCCTTGATCTGTTTAGCGATTTCGTTGTTCGTGTTGAGTGGATTTGTTGTAGTGATTATAGCTCCGAGTGACATTACGGCGAGGCAAATAATGGGGAAGAAGATGGAATTAGGAGAAAGGAGAAGAACAACGTCACCTTTACGAATACTCATATCAACGGATAGACTGGTAGCTAAGGATTCAACGGCGTTCCAGACGTCGGAGAAAGTGAGTTTCCGACCGGTGGTAGCGTCGATGAAAGCGATTTTCCCACTATGTGCTCGTGAAGAAATGAAAGTGGTTACATCAAGAGATTCATTCGCCGGAAACGGAATCGGTTTACGTTTGCTGTAGAAAGTTGAGTTCGCCGGAGAATAGCCGGAATTTGGATCGACGGTTGGATTATTGTTATACTGTGCCATTATGGCCGTGCAAAACTAGCTGCTGCGGAATTGAATGTCTATCTATTTCACCACACTCGAAAAGTAGTTAGTAGTATGCTTTTAAACTGAAAAATTAGGAATTTTATAACAGATTTTGGATCTGAGAAGTTATAATAGAATATTTGTAGATCACAAAAGTTGACTGTTGCTTTATTGATTTTTTTAGAGTAATGTTTTGCATGCAGATTACGTGTTTATTAATTATAGGATAAAGAAAATTGTGGATCAGTTCCCAATTGTCACTTTAATTGTGCCAGGAATAGTGTTCATTTCCAAAGATGAATAAAGTTTTAACTTCTAGAATTTGCTATTCGGGTCGGACTATTTGGGTCATGAAAAATTTGGCGGGATCGATTCATAATTGACGTGACATTATCGATTTGAAGCCATTGATTGGGAAATTTGAAGTGTGCGTAGCCTCCTAGCGGAACCTTAGCTAGTCCGATCCCTTCTACTTGGGTTGGTCTAGTTTGATTCTGAATCGATCCGACTCATTTTTTTTTAAGATTAAGATCATTTTCTTATTTAACTTTTAAAAATGATTTATTTAAAACATAAATAGGTAATAATGTACTCCATATTAAAACAAGCAATAATAGACAATAACATAATGCATAAACTCAACAAAACAATATAATAATCAATAGTAACAAAAATTGATATACAAGAAACTATAAAAGCAATACTACGACTACTAATAGTTTAATACAAACGAACAACATTTTAAATATACTATTATCTACGAATTTTCTAAAATTTATATTCTTCACACCCTCAGTCATGTTCTCAATAAGCTAAATGTGTCATGACTCATGTCCCATCTATTATTGACTATTGCTATGTCTTGAACCACAAAGAGAAAAAATAAGAAGAAAAAAGAACTCCTCATTTTTGGTAGGCAATTGATACTTATGTCATTCTTTCTTTTTATTGATTTATAAACTCTCTTTTTCAAAAAAAATCATCTTAGGTTCATCACATTTTTATTTTTATTTTTGGTCAAATAAACTGAAAATATTATTTACCCAAGTATAAACATTTTTACAGCTAAAAAAAATATAGAGATAACTCAAATAAAATGTTAGGGTATATAGGGATATATTATATAAATAATTGGTACAATTAATTAGTCATTGGGACCAAATATCGACCTCTCTAAAACTTTTGGAACCATATGCCTACTTTTGTTTACTTAGACCAATTTCAACACGACCAAAACGTGGATAATGAGACTAGTATTATTATTTTTCCGTTTTTGTGTCCACCGTCCGTATTAAAGCCCCACCAAATTTGGATCACGCGCTATAGGGCTTATTTGGAGGTGGCACTTGTAAATACATATTTATTTCAAATGAATTTATTTTAAAATGTATTTACAAAGCCAAAATAATTAAACTGTATTGAAAAAAAAAAAAACTTGGAGAAATGGTAAACTTGGCTGTGTATGCCATTCTTTTTTCACCCACCTTGCGACTTGTCCAAATCTTGACACTAGTCTTATAATGTTTTTTTGCATGGTTTCTTATTGGCCTATAAATTGGCATCTTGCATTTATGAAATGATGAGGCAGTAACAAAAACTATCAATCTCATTTCACATTGCTGAAAATTAGTTTTTTTATGACCGTGTCCAGCACGATTAAAGTATTAATTGTGAACTATTTAAAATATTAGCGTAGTAATAATTATCTAATTTTCAGGATTACTATTTTATTAAATAATAACTTATATTATACTTTATTATTGTGAAATTTTAATTGTTCCCCAACAACTCAATATTATTTTATTCATATTTAGGACTCGAAAGTTGAACCTAAGACCAGTATTATTGGAAAACCATAAGATTAATTAGTTGTGATTTTATGTATATACACATCGATAACGTAAATCAATTTTATGGTATTAATGCAATTTAATTGATTATAACATGTTTTTATACTATTTCTTATATTATTTTATTGAATTTATTATGAAAAGTTACCTATTATTTAGGACAAAAAAACTGTTTAGGAGGTATGCGATTTGGACGGCGAAAGAGGCGGGGGCAAAATCACTCTATTTTGATTTACCTTATTTACATTAATAATGTAAAATAACTTTATACTATAAATGACAATTTAATATTTAATTAATATATTATATGGTAGGTACAAAAATTATTCGTATATCAATAAACAAGAAACTACTTTAACTAGTGATCATAGTTGAGTTAAATATAATTAAATAATAAAAATATATTTAAGTTTTTAGATGAAATAACTATATTCTTCAAATTGTAATATTAACATTAGACTCGTTAATAGACTCATGATAATTATAAGAAAAAGACAGCAGTAAGAAACTTCCAAGAATAGTTGACCATTCAAACAAAACATGAAAACACATTTTTTTTCCAATTCAATCAAAAGAGATATGGTACAGTGGATGAAGTTGCTCCTCCATTAATTAAAGGTTTCAAATTTGAGTTTTGAATATGAAAAAATTCTTCGTATAGAGCGCTTTCTCTCGAATGGAGCTCTATGTGACGCGAATTCAGATTGATCGGACTTTAATAAAGATATCAAACTAGAATAAAATAAAAAATGGGGAAGAAGAGAGAGAAGAGAAAAATGATTTATTTTTTGTGTATGACAACAAATTTTGTCTCTAAGGAAACTTCCTCCCAATGGAAAATACAAAAAGAATTATAAATACATTGATCGATAATTAGTTGATACTTATTTGTTAGTACTCTCAGTCCATTTTTAATTGTCATGTTGCACTTTTTGAAAATCAATTTGACTAATTTTCAAAGTTAAATTAGATTACATTAATTTAAAATTTTAAACAAAAAGTTAAGATATTGAAAAACTATACGAAAAGTACTATAATAAATCCCTTTTTTTATATATATCAATATGATGAAAAAATAATCGTAAAGTATCGATCAAAATTACTATCATTTGACTCTAAGAAAGAAAATAATGACAATTAAAAATAGACGGAGGTAATACTAACATTAGTTGTTAAGATGTCGTTGTTTGAAAATTAGGTTAATTAGAAGGACTAATATCAAAATTTGTTGCCATGCAGACATTATTAATTGTTGATGACTAAAAAAGGAGCATTAAATTGAGTCAGTATAATCAGCAGATTTTTTGTTCTTTTTAAAAAAAAGTACTTATAAATGTTCATAATATTCACACTATGTTAGCTGGTGGTCGGTTGAGTCCTAGAAAATCTCAAAAATAATAATATCCATATTCATATTAAAATTCGATGAAATTTTTCAAATTTACATCGAGCAATCTAATATTAGGATTGAGGGTACAAGTTACAACACGCTCCCTGACTAAAGAAATTTGTTACTCCCTCCATTTCAAATTAATTAAATTATTGAGATATTTTTCATTTTTCAAATTAACTTAATTATTTGGTTTTCAAGACTACTTTTAGAGTGTTCTTCCAAGTTTATCCTTCATTGGTTAGTATTGGAATTAGTGATTAATTAATATTTAGTTAATTTAATCATAAATTTAACAATAATCAATAAGGGTAAAAATGAAAAGTTATGTCTAATTTATGTCTTAATCTTCTTTTCTTAAAGAGTGTGAAACCCCTCAACAATTCAATTAATTTGAAATGGAGGAAGTACTAATTAGAAAAAATTAAATTCGAGATACCTCTGTTACAAATGAAGAATTATTTATTACTCTACCACAATCCCTTAAATTATCTCTTTGTTTGTTAGTGAAAGTGGAGGATGAGTAGTTATCTTTTCCTTCTTTTTTGGCTTAATATATCGATAGCGTCTCAAATTTGTATTGAATTTCATTTAGACAAACAAATAAATTATGATTTATTCTAATTAAGTATCTGAATACATGATAAAATAATCTCATTAGATACTTTGATTCATATATTACACATGTAAAAATAACGAAGCCTGCCCATTAAAATTGAATTATCTAATCTATACATCATCATAGAGATTTGCGAATTTTTTTTGCGAGTAACCTTAGATGTAGTTGACATAAATTAAAACGAGAACCCTTGATTTTACATCGAACAATAATTATTGAAAGAATATAATGATAAATTAACATAACATAGAAATTATTAATCTGAGATATGAATATCTAGTTGTGCACTGAACTAAAAAAATATTAGGCCATTGATTAAAGCCCTTCAAATAATTAGTAGGTGTACGTAGTTAATTAATTAGCTCCTACAAAATTATTTCTTCTTTAATTTACTAGTAAGTAAGTAAATTTAAAAGTGAAACTCTTGTTCGAATCAATCTTCGAATAATACATTCAAGTTCTCCTTCAAGATTTTCAATGGCTAATTCCACGGCTTCCAATCTTTTATTAGCACATTGTAATGTCATCGCATCACATTTTTCCCACGAACTTAAGCTATTTACTCTCATCAATAATTTCGAACCAAAATACCCTTTACTCGTTTTCCGTGTCGCATTTGGACTTGGCATTGACATAAGTGCCATCAAAGATTCCAATATTGACATTGTTGCCACTCTAACTTCTCTTAATACATTAACAACCACCATAAGATTATTTTCATTATCTATCGACGATGACGATGAATCGATACATTTAGTGTTATTTTTCATTCCTTTTAAGGAATGCAATCGCTTTAACATCTCTTTCTTCAACTTCTTCCTATGAAAATGAAAAGGCGCGAACTTGTTCTCCGTTATCGCGTTTTTCCCAACACTGATTCTTCTGAACGTGCACTTAAGATCATGAACATGATCCTTAACAAGCAAAAGGACATCTTTGGTGGTACCACAAACGTCCAACATCCTTAACGATGTTTCTGATACCTCGTGTGTCCATTTCTCCTGACCCTGATGAGCGATATCTCGTTTGATCACCGGGGAGTGAAGCATGTCGTTAGCCGATTCGTGCAAGTCTCTTAGAGCATCAAAATTTGGGAGTGCCATTGAAGTTTTTCTTGGAGAAAATTAAGGATGGTTGAAAATATTGTTGAGATTTGAGATTAATGCACTTTGTTACATCTATAATGTTGTAATGTATTTATAGTTAAATAGAGAAAATTAATTAAAGATGGATTATTATTATTAATTGAGATCTGAGATCTCTTAGGAAAAAGGACAGAAGGATCCTTTTTTGTACGGATTTGTTGTCCTATAATTGGCAACAGCTAAGGTACCAAAATTTGTTCCCTTGGGAAACTTCATTGGAAATGAGAAATGGAGAAAAATATGAGTAATTGATACATTGATTGATTAGTTGATATAGTATAGTAGTTGACTAGTTTTTTTTATTAATTCATTATCAGTGTTGGATAACTATATTAGAGCCTGATCAAATTCGAATTCCGCTGAAAAGTCACACATTGGTCGTAAACCGCTCCCTAACAAAGGCGACTGCATACCAGAAAAAAGTTGAACTCGAGACCTCTAATAAACAAGTACTTACTACTCCACCACAACCCTAATTGGTAGTTGATCACTAGTTGTTAAGATATATATTCTTGTTTGTGGATTAGTGTTAGTTTATTTGTAGGATTTCATTTAATTATATTATACTATATATACAATTAGCTAGTATATGTGTAGTATCTTATTCTTCTAATTTTCATTATTACTTGTTGTTTCATTTCTTCTGTTTAATCGTGTTATTTTGTTGTCGAATTTTTCTTTTTATCATGTTTTGATTATTTTTATTCTTAGTCGAGGGTTTATCAGAAACAACTTTTCTACCCCACAAAAATAAAGATACTTAGATCCGCATATATTTTATGTATTCTAGCTCCCAAGATCATGTTTGTACGATTACACTGAATATATTGTTATTATGGTATACTACTAATGATTTAGTTAAGGAAGTAATGTTTTTATATTATTTTGATGTACAAAAATAAAATATACAATATAATAGTTGGTAGCATGCAAATACATGCATGTAGAAAAAAAAAATGCCATAGCCGATATTTAATTTGTCGCCATGCAGACAAAATGTTTGCTAATTGAGGAGCATTAAGTCAGTAATCAACATTCTAATTATTATTTTAACTTTATTTTCATGGTGATTAAGAAAAATAATAAATATAAGACGTGTATAGTTTACTTAAGGATCTGTTTGGAAAGCCACCTGGTAATTGGAATTGGTGTAATTACTAGGGTAGTAATTACCAGTCTAGTAATTAATTACACAGTCTAGTAATTACATTGACATGTTTGGTTGTCACAGTGTAATTACAGTGTAATTCCCTTTGTCTTGTTTGGTTGGACGAATGTAATTACACAGTTAAATTTTAAAATAGATCAGATTTTGAATAAATAATATTACTATGTATAACTGATTGTTAGAATCGATTTTCTAATTTATTATTATTATTATTATTATCAGAAATTAAAGAAAAAAAATTAATTCTCATATTTATTTTAATCTAAAAAACTAACAGGAGAAAATACAAAGATAAAATTCATACATAATCTACCTAGACATCAAAATATGAAAGTAAAATGAATCAAGAAATAAATCTTACTTGAAAGAAGAAGTACAGGGTTTGTTGTTGTGTCGTTCTTAGAAATGAAAATGTCCAGACAAAAAAGGAAGAAGTGTCTTGGTATTCCAAACAAAAATATATTAAAAAAATATAATATTAAAAAATTCTTGTAATTCCATGGTGTAATTACACTCAATTCCTTACCCTCCCTTGGGAATTGAGGAGTGTAATTACTCCCCTTCAATTACACCCCAATTTTCCCCTCTTACCAAGTAATTACTTGGTCTACCAAACAGGACAAAGAGAAATTACACCAATTCTCAATTCCATTGTGGCCTTCCAAACAGACTCTCAGTAAACAACAACCAATTTTGGTCTTAAAATTTTGAAACAAAAGTTATTTTAAAATATATTTTTTGAACTAAAGCGACAGTTAATTAAAATTGGATCGATAAAGCGTGTAGAAAACTTCCAAGAAAATTCTTGAAACAAAGAATTTTTTTATTTAATGAAAATTGAGGATAAGTACTTGAATGTACTCTTATTTTTCATCTAATTTCTTTGATGATTAAAAATTGTAAATATTTATGAACCCATGTGTTCTTAATCATGTGGGTGCTCCGAAAAAAAGATTTAAAAATGAAGATGATGCAAACAATTTCAATAGTAGCACGTTATCTTGTTTCTTCAAGCAAAGCAACCCAAATGAACAATTTCATGAAAATTAAAAAAAAGAAAAAAAAATCTCCCAAGATTTATTATTCATATTTTTTTTCCTTAAAATATTCAATGTTTGCTTAAAAGGAAAGATGAATAAGTGTAGAAAATGTCATTAAGTATGAGCAATTAATCATATTTATTCTTTGTTAGTAGCGTTATCTATCTCTCTGTTTTTCATAGTCAAGATGTGCTCGGTGGAACCGGTGAACCACACTTGCTTCTGGATAGATGTGTGGGACAGAGGGCTCGTGGTACCTGTTGCCCACCCTTCCTCCTCTGCTTTGAGAATCGTGTGAACGGAGAGTGGGCAAAAGAGAAGGAGGTCCTCATACAGAGTCGCACCAAACCTTGAGAAGAAGTAATGTATGAAATAAATTGAGAGCTTCCTGCCATACAGAGACAAGTTCTGAGTTTGGTTCAAAGGGGAATAAGGGTATTAAGAAAAGGAATTTCCCAAGGATCTAAAATCGCAATCCCTTTTAGGTGTCAAATACCTCCGATCTCTACCGTAGGTGTCAAAGAAGAATGAGAAGAAGCCCGAAAAAGAGCAAAAACGAACATAACCTCCGATATGATAAACAAAATAAAATCATATGTTGCTATCGTTATTTTATTGAGCCAAAAATAATCTTATTTCACATAAGACATAACCAAGGCCATATTTGAATTATTTCTTAACTTTATCATAGTTAGATCTGAGTGTGCTTGACGAAGATGAAGTATTGGTGTTGATATATATGCTATAATTAGTTTAGCTGAAGTTATTTTGAGGATCTTATTTTGACTTTTAAGAAATGAAATTTTATATTTTTGGTGTGTTCAATTAGAATTTGTTACTTTGTAAAAATTATTTGAATAATTTAGTTGCGAACTTGAGACTAGATTATCAATATAATGTAGTGTTATCTTTCAAAAGATTATGTTGTGCAAGTGCGTGCATGTTAGAATTTGGATTGAAAGAACAATTTTAAAAAATAATGAAGGATACATTCTAACCAACTTGTCACATCTATGGACAAATGTTGAATCAATTAGTTATGAAATACGATTAGCTATGTGTATGCAGTGGCGGATTCATGATTTTCAATAAGGATGTTCGGAAAAAAAAAGAGTCGTGTCTAAGATTTTATCTTGAAATCTCAAGGTGAGTTTAGAACCCCTCAACCACTAAGTCAATCTCTAATCTTACGTCCAGGATGTTCAAAATCAATAAAGACATAAAAGTTCTTTAAAACTCTTAAATATACAGCATATTTTTTTGCTCGGCAACCTCTAGGTCCGCCCTTGTATGTGTGTTATCAATATCTCTACATGCATGTGATTCGGTGAGACCTAACCTCAACCTTCTTAGGGCCGGATTGAGTTAATTATTTAAGGCTCACTGAATTGGGGTACATATACCCAATATGACTTGTCAAACTTGAAAGCCTTGGTGGGTTACGTTGGGGCCAGTGGCTGCATAGCTAAAATTTGATCAGCTATATATATAGTGTAATTTATTAACGAAGGGTGGTCAATGAATCAATTTGATTTCACTATAGCTCTGCACTTGATTAGCGCAATCCAGCCTATCTTGACAGCTTCATATAATATTATATGTATTCTTCATTTATATTAGGCGAAATGGTCTGATGGACTCTTGTACTTGTATATGTTTGTATTATGAACCCTTTTACTTAACTATTTGTCAACTGAGCCCTTAAACTCAAAGATACTTAGCATTTTAAACCCCCTTGGCTTTATGTGAACTTCAAACGAGAAAATGATCAAAATGGTCCTTAATGTATGGCTTTGATTCCATTTGGTCCTTAATGTATGGACTTGATGAAAATGGTCCTTTATGTATCATAAATTGTGATCAATTTGGTCCTTAACCCTAAAATTAATATTTTATTTTATTTTGCCGTTAAAATACACGGAATATGTAAAAGATGCACTCGTTCAAGACTTTCCTTCCCCTGTTTCCAAAAATTCCAAAATGACACATCAAATTTTTTTTAACCAAAAGGGCAAAATCGCTTCTGACGGAGTGACTTTCTTCTGACAAAATTGACGTTGTTACTCCTTTAAAAAACATAAAAATCGCTGCCGGTCCAAAAAAAAAATCTTTTTTCTTTAAAATCGTTGTTGTGAATTATTTTTTTTAACAACGTTGCCCCCGCAGCATTTAAAAAATAGAAATAGCTGCTATAGCAGCCATTTTCTTAAAAAAGTTCAATTTTTTTTTATTAAAAATTCCCGAGGTGAGGACTGCTTAAAAAATAATGGGAAATCGCTCCACGTGTAGCGATTTTAGTTTAAATTTTTTTAAAATAATTGTTGTCATTAAAATTTTAGGGTTAAGGACCAAATTGATCACAATTTATGATACATAAAGGACCATTTCCATCAACTCCATACATTAAGGACCAAATGGAGTCAAAGCCCATACATTAAGGACCATTTTGATCATTTTCTCAACTTCAAACACTCAACAAAAATGACACGTCGTCATCCACGTCAGATTTTAATGACACATCATTAGTTCTTACTTTTTAATTTTTTTTCTCTTCATTCCTCGTCATTTCTTCCTTAATCTATCTCTCTCCATTTTTTAAATTAGATCTCATCACCACAACGTTCCATATTCACTATTATCACTATTTTCCTAAATCATAAAAATCACCACTCTTGTCTATGTTTTCATCATTCATAACTTTCAATCATATTTTTTTATAACTTTGTCCATCACTTGAAACACCATAAACCTCTTTTCATCATTAATGCAAACAAACCACCATTAAAATACCTTAATATATCCTATATTTGTACATAATTCTACCCAACACACTCTATATGACAAATACATTTAATAATTATTCCTTACCCATCAAAATTATCAGATTTGTCAGAAAGATTAGAAAATAAAATAAAATTGGAGAGTGTGGGGAAGGGGAGAAAGAAAGAAATGGGGGATTGGGTAGGGGAAGAAATCAATATCCATATAAGTTAAAAATCAATGTCTTGCTAAACCCTCTATGTAGAAATCAAGGATGATGTTTTTTAACACAATCTCCATGGAGTGAAGAAATCAATATCCCTCTATCTAATATTTTTTTTGGTCAAAAAGATGTTCACAAAACATAGGGACCTATTTAAATCCGTAGAAACAGAGAAAAAAAAAACTAAACAAACGACACCAAAATAGAAACTAAAGCAAAAAAAAAATGAAAATAAAATTGCGATGTCAAAAAAGAAGAGTGGAATTTGAGCTTTTCCATCTCCTTCTTTGTGCATTCATGGTGTATTTGAGCTTTATCAATTATTACTGTAATTTTACTACCACTCTTCATCCTTAACTTTTTATTTTTCATTTGAGATTTACTATCTTGTTTTTCATATCTGTTGCGGCCCACTTCAGAATTTGCTATCTTGTTTAAATCAATAAAGGGATAAGTATGTTAAAAAAGAAGAAGAAACTGAAGAGTCATAGGGAAGGGGAGAAAGAGAAGGAAATGGGGGATTGATATGGTCACTCTCCTTTTTTGCGTGAAATCACGCAATTATTCCACGTCAATATTAAGTTGCCACATAAGCTTGGTTAATGGTCAAAAAGGTTTAATATATTAAGTTCCGTTGAGTTCATGGATTTAGTTGACAAAATATTAAGTAAAAGGATCCAGAATACAAACTCATATAAGTACAAGAGTCCATCAGACCATTTCGCCTTTATATTACTATATAAGAAATGGGAATAAGCACACAACTGAACGTCAACATGTCAGCTTCAGCTATGTGCTTATTCTCATAGTGTGTTTCTTGGCTTATTGGTTTAAGCTTGCCATCTTAAGTATAGGGTCTGAGGTTTGAACCTATGCAACAACATTTGTTAATTTCTGTTTTTATTTCTACTCATTTGGAGCTTTTAACATTTCATATCATGTAAATATATTTCGTATTTATATTTTAATTATTCCATCTTTTATTTTACATAAAAGTTTTGTTAATTTTTAAATTTCATATTTTTTACTATAAAAACATATCAAATAAATACTACTTAATTAAGTGTAACAGATATCTACGATGTTATAAATTTAAATTTTGATTTATTTTTGTCCATCTTTTTATCTATAAATTACCTTTAATTTTGAATAGTAATATTAGATCGTTAATATTATATTATTAATACAAAAAAACAACAAATATTAAGCCTGCCATTTTAAGTATAGGGTCTGGGGTTCAAACCTAGGCAACAACATTTGTTAATTTCTGTTTTTATTTCTACTCATTTGGAACTTTTGACATTTCATATTACGTAAATATATTTCGTATTATATTTTAATTATTCCATCTTTTATTTTACATAAATTTTTTGTTAGAGCTTTTGACATTTCGTATTACGTAAATATATTTCGTATTCATATTTTAATTATTTCATCTTTATTTTACATAAATGAAAATTTTACTCTTAAAAAAATATCAAATAAATACTGGTACTTAATTAACTGTGGCAGATATCTACTATGTTATAATTTAAATTTTGATTTATTTGTCCATCTTTTTATCTATAAATTACCTTTTATTTCGAATATGAATGTTACATCATTAATATTACATTATTATTACAAAAAAAAAACAACAAATATCATTGAATTTAAAAAAGTTGAAAGTACCACAAATAAATATTGCGAATTTCAAATAATGATGATTGGGCCGGTGTAAATCATGGGCTTCCCCTTTCTAGTATTTATACATATACTCATATTAATGTTTAATTGGTGAAGTCAAATAATAATAATTTTTTTATAACACTATTAATATTTAATATTACTTTATCCAATGAAACATGTTGATAAATATAAATACAAAATGTGGTTAACATTTTATTATATCTTCATCAAGATTGAAAACAATTAGTCAAAACTCATATCTTCAAACTTAATTGGTTTGTTTCACAAAATAAACATCTCTAAAATATGATGGTAAAATTATGAGTTTAAAAAACTTTAGGGATTAAAGAGACTCATAGTTATATTTAAAAGATCAAAATAGATTTGTAATCATAAATGAGGGACAATTTTAGCTAAATATTTGGTGAAAGTATGAAAATTAGTATTTAATCCCTACGGTTAACAATACTTTCACATCAAGTCCACTCAATTTCTCTTTAGTCAAAACCCTCACCGGTGATTTCTCTAAGCTTCTCCGGTGAAATCGCCGCCATGAATCTCCGTATCGTCGACAAAGAGGAGCAAGACAATCGCTATGACCTCTTCGACGTTCACTTCCACAGCGATGTAATCAAAACAATGGTAACTCCCGATCCCGATATCATCACTCAATGGATCTCCGAAACTGAATCTTCTCACTCCGGCAATCGCCGTCTCATCGCGGGACTTGACGTGGAATGGCGTCCTAACTTCCACCGCAACCAGCAAAACCCGGTCGCCGTTCTCCAGATCTGCGTTGATCGGCGTTGCCTCATCATCCAACTCCTCTACTGTCGATCAATCCCGGAGTCTCTGTTCAATTTCCTCGGGAATCGGGAGTATGATTTCGTTGGAATTGGAATTGAGAGCGATGTGGAGAAATTGTTGGAGGATTATGAGCTGAATGTGAAGAATGTGGTGGATTTGAGAGGAATTGCTGCTGATGTTTATGGTATGAAGAATTTGAAGAATGCTGGGTTGAAGGAACTGTGCAATGTTGTTCTGGGGAAGGAAATTGTTAAGCCTAAATCTGTTACTATGGGTAGATGGGATAGTGAATGGTTGAGTTTGAATCAAGTTCAGTATGCTTGTCTTGATGCTTTTGTTTCTTCTGAAATTGCTAGGCACTTGAATGTTGGTGCTGCTGCTGCTTCTGCTTCTGCTTCTGGCTCCTAAAACTTTCTTCTGGGTTCTTCTTACGAAGATATTAGAATCCGACTATTTCGAATTTCTGGTTATGGATAGTAGAGAGGGAAAACACATGGGTGAAGTTTTAGTCTAATGTTGTTAAATGGATTTGAAGCGTATTTATTTACATACTGTAAAAGTAGTTTTCTTGTTTTTTTTTGCCAGCTCACGATCTAAACGAGTCGCACATACACTCTAGTACATGTTCCTCGACGCTGAGAGCACCCCTGAAGAGCAGCGGATTTCGTGACATTTCTGATTGGCTGTCTTGGGGGATTTCGTGACATTTCTGATTGACTGTCTTGTATTTCTAATAAGTTGTTTAATAGTTGGCATGTTGAATGTATACATAATATGATGGGTTGGTTTAGATTGATCCTTACCGAATGATGTTGAATTACTTCTATTTAATAGAATATTGGTAAAATCTCAAATCACAGATTTTCACGAAATCCATTACACCTTATTTTAGAGTTGTTACGTATTTTTTTTAATGTCACGTATAAACTTATTTGAAGGATAAATGGATATAAAAAGATAGTAATAAAATAAGATTATTAAATGATAAGTAAATGTGATCTATACTTTTATAATACTATCATAGTTTACAACAACATACCTAGTGGAATCTGAAGAGGTTATGTGTGTATGTAGTACGTTATTTGATAGACTCTCGACTTAAGTAAACATATCACATATCAAAAATCAAATACGCAAAATAAATACAAGTACCAAATTAAGGACATCAGCTTTCTCCCATTTACTATATATTTCATTAAGTTGATCTAGCACTTCTATCATTTATAAGAACTATTCAAAATCCTACTACGTGTAAAAGGACTTTTTTCAAGAAATCAAACAATATATAGTAACTTAATACTAATATACTAAGGCCGAGCGCGTTTAAAGGTTGATCCAAAGTGCCCTCGTGGGCTGCAACCCAGAAGAACTAAAAGCTCGAAGACCGGTTCCTTCTTTTACCTTCAGAGTGCCCTCGTGGGCTGCAATTCAGAAGAACTAGAAGCTCGAAGACCGGTTATTTCTTTTACCTTCAGAGTGCCCTCGTGGGCTGCAATCCAGAAGAACTAGAAGCTCGAAAGGACCGGTTCCTTTTTTTACCTTTTGGGAGAATCCAACAAACCTAAACTACAAATTTCTGTTCCTGATGGAGCCTCCCAATGTGAAGTTTTATTCTTCATCTCAGCAAATTCCCTCACACATTGATCCAATTTCATTCCATCAATTCTTCTTCTAGCTGCAGCAAGTTTTTTCCCCGCCACTCTGTCGAAAACTCTCTCCCACCCGCTCTCCCATTCAGCGCGAGCATCACATAGCTCGAGCGAGTTATTAGCCCAATCCGTCCAACTCCATCCTTTATCTAGTCTATTCATGGCAACCTCAACGCACGACCCGGTGCACGCGGGCGTGCACGGCCGGCATTTGGCCCCACTCAAGGGACCTCGACTAGAAAGCGCTGCAACTGGTACACCATAATGGGATGGTGGAAATTCGTACTGACGGTCCGTTACCACACAAAATGGAAGGCGCATAGTTAGGTAAGGAACTTGTTGAGTTGTAAGTTGGGCTTTGAATGCACTTTCTGAGTTGAGCTGAATACGCCCTGCTAAATCAAGCTGGGGTATCATGGAGAGCCTTGAAAGAGCGATCACAGACGTGTTATAGTCACCAACGCCAAAACGATCGTTCAGGCCTCCGTAGGAGGAACCTGGAGGGACGAGGTAGTGCCCAGGGATGAAGTTTTCGGGGCCTAGTGGTGAAGACCAGTAGCCATCAACTCGAGTTCGGACTATCCAGTCGTATGTGAAGTTGTTCTGTTTTTGATAGTCTTGGATCATTGTCAAACAACCCTCTACCAAATTGAAATATTGCAGCAACCCCTGCAATTGGTAACATTTTGGATTCACTGATTGTTTATGCCAAACCAAATTAATATATGTTATTGCCCGTAAAAGTAGCATTGATGATAGATATGACACATGGAAAAAATAGCATTTTCCGCTTTAATGGGCTACACCCATAACGAATTCAGATTAATCAAAATCCTAATATAAGTACCGAAGAAAGAAGTTATTTTCTTCATCATCAATATCACCTAATCCTAAGAAAATATTTTTGTTGAAAGTGTCATTTTTACCTAATCTAGACCCACCTATTAGATATTTAATTTGTCAAAGACCATTTGGATTTTGGTTTTGTACTTCTATTGGTTGCCAAATTTACACCAAACAAAATTTTACAAGCAAATACTTCATGCTTCTCCCTAAGGGTAGCAACATTAATATTATTTTAAAAGTTACATATTAATGCATTTATCTTCAACCTGACTCTAGAATCTTTTTTCATCTTTATAGTGAAATCATACAAAAAAATTTCCAACCTAACTTTTAGTATGAAAAAAGAAACTTACACAATTTTTTTTTTTAAACCATAAAAAGCTACTTTAATAATTTAATATAATTATTGATGTTTTAATTCACATAATTAAACATTAGATACATTGATTCTCAACTAACCCCAAAACCTCCCTTTGAAAAGTCATCTTTGTTTTATAATAGCAATGTTGGAATCAAACTTATAAACACTTTTCAACTTTTCCAATCATAATATTAAATAACTTCCCCCCATCAAAACTTAAATAAATAAAAAAAAATCAACTAGCTTTTTCGTACTCTACCACTAAAATTTCCACCAAAATCATTAATCGATAGGTCAAACCTTTAATGCAAAGTCATAAATCTACATGAAAACTAGTCTTAGAACGATCATCCCCTTAACAAAAAAGAAAATAAAAAAATCATACTCTTGAGTCGATGATCTATCTGAAGCGACTTTCGAAAGCATGAGCTATAATCCATGACGTTGATTACAAGTTCACGTGAACTCAACAATCGAGAGAGCCATTTTCGCCTCGATAATTACCTAAAAAAATTTGTCTATTGCCAACTAATAACATGACAGCAGCCAGCTAAAACCACCTCTCAACTTCCATTAAAAAGCTTTTTTTAGAATTGCGTTAGAAGCAACGAAAACGCCACCATTATCTCTTTGTTTCCATCCTAACAAACAAATACTCTTTTTCTAATTCAAAAAAATTTGTTAATTATTTTTAAAAAAATTAATAAATTAAAAAAAAAAAAACGAAGAACAAATACCTGTATTCCATTAGGTGAGTTTTGAGCTGTAAGAACTCGGAGTTGTGACTCAGTTTCCGGTATATTTTGTGGCCGGAAAATCCTAACGCCGGCGATTCTCCGAACAGATTTCAACAATGAAAGCTTATAAGCTTTAGAATCCAATGGACTATGAAGAAACAGATCAGAATTCGGATAAACTTTCAAAATTTTCTGGATAATTGAAGGCCCAGTAAGTTCAAACCTCCGGGCCCCACCTACTAAACACACAGCTATTCTCGATCGATCCAGCTCCTCCTTCTTCCGTTTCTTCTCCGATTCATCTGCAAATCTCGCCGGAAAATCATATTCTCCTCCGGGAACGTAACTGATAGTTGATTTTGAATTTGAGAAAGGATTGAATACTGCAACAGTTCCTCCACCAACAGAAGAGTAAAACACATAAACAATGAACAAAATTGGTGGTAATATCAACAATAACTTCTTCAAATTGAGATCTGAAATCCATTTACTACATCGATGAAGAAATTTTGAAGGATTTCTCAAAATATTCGTCATATTTCGAGTTTCGTTCATCTTTAACCAGAAATTTCTTCGCAGAAAATTGAATTTAACAATGAAATAATGGTGACTTTTCAACTACTATTGATGAAAGGATATTTCCTTTGCTTTTTCCATATTGTTGAATCATGAAGTAAACGTTGAATGCTTCTAACTTTTTTTTTTTCTGACTGGTTTTAAATAAAATGTGAATATGATAAGGATGATGATAATAATTATAGTAAAAAAAATAAAATTTTTTTTTTTTTTTTTTTTAGTAAATTGTGTGTAGGATATTTTGTGAGAAGTTAAATTCAAATATAAAATGTGTTCCACAAAGCAATTAGGAAAGTATAAATATAGTAAATATCAATCTATCTCTCTTTTAATTTTAGTTAATGAAAAATATATATAACTTGTTGATGAAGCATTTTTATCGGAAGAGTCGTAGCAGGATGAATAAGATATTTTTATCGATTAGATAAGAGCGCGAAACTCTTTGAATCTCACTATAAGGATTTTTCTGTTTTTCTCTATTGAAAATAGCCAGAACTAGAAAATGTATATTATAATATAAACTAGAACAAATGAATATAAACTCTAGACATAAATTAAATAAATAAGTATCAAATAACAAATCTTAAACAACTTAGAATTTCTATTTGGACTTTGTATTATTATTCCAACAATCAAAACTCTACTTTTTTTTTGTTTCCCATCCGATACCCACATTGAAGCCTAACTAAATTTAAATTCGCACTAGAAAATTTCACGTTAAAAAATAAAACATTTTCTAACAAAGATGACTTCATACCCAAAAGTCGAAACTCGAGAGCTCTTCATTAATCTAATACAAGTATCAGAGGGTGAATGAAAAAAATGACTTTTTATTTTAAAAATACAATTATTGTAACAAAAGTTTGAAATATTGATAAGTTACCTAAAACTCAATTATTCAAAATCTTTAAATTTTGTCTCGTGGAATTTTTTTGTCGACATCGATTAATTGGGAAAGTATTTTAAAGAGATAATCCAAAAAACTTTTTATAAGAGTATTTTCTTCCACATGTTATCTTGATAAATAATATGATCGTATAAAAAAGAGTACATACTTTTAACATCTACCATAAGACCTTTTAATATTAAAAATAATTATTTTTAGTTCAAATCAATAAAAAATATTATTCGTTTGATATGCAGAATAGAATAAACTAAGTATATATTATGATTGTGATTAATTATCCTATTTTTATAAATAAATAAAATAATAAATAGTGAAATAAAATATAATTATTTTAAATTAACTAATACATATAATCAAAAACACGAAATTAAAAAAATTATATATATATACATATATATATATATATATATATTTAAAATTATTACTTATTATTTCACCAACCAAATAACCAATTAATGTCTCATCAATGGCCAATAGACTAGAACAATTTCAATCTAGTGATCTCATGGCCTATTGTCCACTTTGATTTTTCCTTCAATGTAGACTATAGAATAAATAAAAAATAAATTTAGCAAATATTCCTAGATACTTACCGCAACAACAACAATAATATATTGGTATAATTTTATTAATAGATATTAAAAAACATAGATATTCACAAATCTTATCTTTACCTTATATAAAGTAGAGAAATTATCTTCGATAAACTCAATCACTTGGACAACA